CACCCACACCCACACCTACACCCGCTCCCACACCCACACCCACCCTCAGTATCTATTAATAAAATTTCATCAATTATAAATGTCCGAATGTGTTTATGTTCCTTTAGATTTTGTATCATCTAAACTGATTCATTATCATTATGTTGTGAAAATTAAAAATAGTTTTATAATGAAATAACTTTTTTTTTGAAATTTTTAAAATATTCAACACTACCGAGGGACCATCCCCAGGTGATCCGCTCCGATTTCACTCGTTCATATATCATTCGATAGGGGACCTCGAGTAACTAAAAAGCCTAAAAGGATTTCGACCGACGGCTTTTCTTTCGAAAGTTATGACCAGTTTTCTGAGTTTCATAGCGAAAACTATCATCAAAAGAAAAATTCACAATTTCATCCAAGAAACTTATAGAGAGCTGAAATTCTTTTTGATGGTAGTCTTAAAGGTCCTCTATATATCCTAAAAGTTTTACACTTCTATCACTTTCTCTTCCCGAGTTATAGGTCTTGTCTGTTTAGCAGGAGAAATCATAATATGACACATCACGCAAAGTTTCTTTTTCTAATATTTACTTCCCTCAATAAATGAATATTGCATATTTACTTTTTTTTTCTTCGAAATGTGTCGTATGTACAGGTAGTGAAGAAATGTCTATGTCACGTATATTCTTCTTAATTACAGTTATGGAAAAGATAGAGAAAAGTCAGAAAGAATGGAGAAAAAGTAAGGCCATTTTGAATCTTTTGTTATGACCTTCCTTGTTTGTCAGGTCATAAAAGTGCTCTTTCTCTTTTTTTGATGTTATTAGCATTATAGCGTCATCACGAACACCATCTATGTGTATGTTGTGGTCAAAATTAAAATTCAGTCAAATTTAAAATTTGTCTAGTCAAAATTGAAATTTTAATTTCGTCTAGGCAAAATTAAAATTCTAATTTTGTCCAATATGATCTCAGTCAAAATTAAAATTTGAATTTTGACCAGACAAAATTAAAATGTGTTTCTCGTGAGTAGGAAGTCTTAAAGAAAGAAAAACAATTAAGATAGAACAAATCTCTTTTATTTTACAATTAGTGGCGTAACAAAGATTTTGTATATGTAAACGCTGGGTCTTAGCAATAGAGCATGGGATTCAGATGAAGCTTCTGGAGAATGACATTGGGTCCAAATGATCATTTTTTATCAAAAAGTTTTCCCGATCAAAGTTTGCGGAAAAAAGTTTTCTCCTATTCCTCATCAACATTTTTTCCTCTCAAAACGCTATAGCGGGATTTATTCTTTCAGAATTTATTTCCTCTATGACTTTTATTAATTATGATAATATCTCAGCAGATCCACACTCAAACCTGTGCCCTCATCCACACTCAGACCTTCCCCTGCATCCTACACCCTCACTCTCACCTTGTATGTATTAAGGAATAGCGTGGGATTTATCCCAAAATGCTTAACGATTTATTGAAAAGTCCGAATAATCTCCAAAAAAATAAGTCCCGGTAGCTGCTGGAAGATTTCGATAATACTTTAAAAATTTTGAAAAATTCGTGAATTGTCCCAATGTTTTCGACCTTGTGATGCCCATAGCTACATCGAATTTGATCTAAAAATACGCATCCTCTCAGGAATTATAACGTTTTGAATTTTTGCTACATGTTGCAGCTGAGATCCAACATATACAAAAATCCTGCTTACACCACTATTTGTTATCCTTGGCTATCAAAGTTTTATCGTTTTATGTACATCAGAAATATTTTAATTTTGTCTGGTCAAAATTCAAATTTTAATTTTGACTGAGATCATATTGGACAAAATTAGAATTTTAATTTTGCCTAGACGAAATTAAAATTTCAATTTTGACTAGACAAATTTTAAATTTGACTGAATTTTAATTTTGACCACAACATATATATCTTTTTCTCTTTCGTTCCTATTACACATGACGTCATGATCTCTCCCTATTTCTCTAGTATATATACTCGATCGTGTTCTTCTTATCACTCATTCCTATTTCATACTGTTCAGTTATCAGTTGCTACTATCTTTCAAAAAATAAACAAAACCATGATAAACGCTCGCAATATCGCAAGATTATTAACAAAACACGTTGCTAAATTGCCACCATCAACAGTACAACTATCTAACTACAGTGTTAGAGACGAAGATGTTACCAAACACCTCTAAGAAAACATAATTACAATATTAAACAGTAGTGAATATCGATTTGAAAATGAGCACACCTTGGACTTTGTTTATGATTTACATTCTCCACACTACTCGAACGATTCTGATGAGGAGGAAGTTGCAGAAAAGGATACCGACTACGATGAGAATGACGATGCAGAAGATAATTTACTTCAGGATTTCTCACTTGAATATATGAAAAAGATCCAAATACAGGCAAAAGAAAACACAGCTGGCGTAGCTTTCATCATTCGTTCAAAAATATTCCAAATCGAGCATATATTACATGATTTCGCAAATACCTTGCTGCTCATGGTACGAAGAAAGGAAAACTCGACGAAGTCAATAGCTTCACCTACAACTGTTTCGAGAAAGCCCGAGAACAACTGTTACCATCCATGATATGGATCTAAAACGTTTTGCTCTGAAGAAAGCGAGAGAAGTTGATGATGACACTTTGGTCGCTAGCGACCATTGGTTGTACAATTTCAAGCGGCGTCATGGTATCTGCAGCAGAAAGATCACGAAGTTAGTCACCAAAAGTGAAGTTGAGAACAAAGAGACTATCAATCAAACTGCTGATGATTTTGTACTTGAAGTTCAGAAGATGTTACCAAAGTATAGACCGGAAAATGTCATTAATATCGACCAGAGTAGTTTAGCTTTTGAAATGTACTCTAATCGAACACTTTCCTGCGAAGGCGAACACCTCACTTTAGCAAAAGTACGATCTGTTCATAATACAACTCACAGCTACAGTGTACAGTCAATTATCTCACTGTCCGGTCATCAAATAGGTCCACTACTTATCTGCCTTAAAGAACCGAACGGTCACATGAGTGACAACATCAAACGAAAACTCTTCAAGGCCGATAATGTAGTGGTAACCTGCAGTAAGTCTGGAAAGCTTACTACTTCCCTCGTCGAATACTGGAACAATAACGTTCTGATCTCTACAATTGGTGATAAAAAGTGTTTGCTACTGTCAGACTATTGGGGTGAACAACGTGACGTGAAACTGTATCAATCACTAAAAACTTAACTAGACTAGAAATACCAAAGAAAACTATTTTGATGATACAGCCATGTGATGTCTATTATAACAGGCACTTTAAACGTATAGTTCGTCAAATGTATGATTATGTAAGACTCTATGAACTGAATGTCAATTTAGCACAGCGAGATAACATCATAAAGATGAACTCATTGACCTATAATCAATTGTTCTCTCCAAAGTTTAACGCAATGATCAGATATGCCTGGTATCAATCAGGATACATGACACAGAATCCCGAAACGTTTGAAAATGTTCAAGAAGTCTGTTTCTTCTTTGACGATAGCCGTTGTCACATACACAAGTGTAAAGAGTCTTTACCATTTAGCAGGTGTGTTCACTGTAGTAAGGTCCTATGTTTTGAACATTTCTTCGAAATGTACCATTTTCACTGATATTTCAAAAGAACAGTTTTTGTCTCACTTCTTTCTCCTTATTGTTGCCTAATGTTTACTTTCTTCGGACATGTCTTCCTTGAATGTTGATAATAAATGCCTTTGAGGCAAAAAGAAAAAATCTTTTGCTGAAGTTGGAGGCCTCTGTGTGGCAGGTTGGAAGCAACATTCGCCAACGATATTAACAGTAAGATGAGCAGTCAACTAACTCGTTATCTCATCAATTGAACTTTTACAAAGAAAATCGGAGCACAAAACCACTTCATGCTTTTTAAAAGAAACCGACAGGATTTTCCTTACTAATAGGAAAGTCCTATAACTCGGGAAGAGAAAGTGATAGAAGTGTAAAACTCTTAGGATATATAGAGGACCTTTAAGACTACCATCAAAAAGAATTTCAGCTCTCTATAAGTTTCTTGGATGAAATTATGAATTTTTCTTTTGATGATAGTTTTCGCTAGGAAACTCAGAAAACTGGTCATAACTTCCGAAAGAAAAGCCGTCGGTCGAAATCCTTTTAGGCTTTTTAGTTACTCGAGGTCCCCTATCGAATGATATATGAACGAGTGAAATCGGAGCGGATCACCTGGGAATGGTCCCTCGTAAGTAATATGATATCGATATGACAGATGTGTGTGAATGAAAGTGATTTATTACTTTTTCATGAATTCATTGAAAGATTGTTAAGTTAAAATGTGAAGACTTCTGTAAAACATGGAAGTACTCACAAATACTTCTGGAATCAATTCATGATATTCTTCGTAAATAAAACTCGTCGAATTAAGTCTATGAATACTATTGAATGGTAAAACGTTAAATTACAAGAAAGGATTTCCTATAAGTAATGTTCTACAAGATTTATCAGCAACTGTAGAAAGAAGACCAATAAGAAATGCACATAAATTCACAAGAGAAGTTTTTTTATATGATGTGAAAAATTTATTCCTTTTCGAATTTGGTCTCAATGTTTGCTTTAGGATACCTGTGGATTTTGGTTTGAATAAAGATTTGTTTTTCATCAGATGCTCACATTCACATCTACTCTCAATTCATTTTATATTTTCTTTGAATTCTGAATGGTGACATGTGGGTGTAAGTCATGACTATACTACATACTCACAGCTTGCATCGTTTTTTTTCTTTCTCCCATGTCTCACGAGTATGAGAAAATGTTGTAATCATACGTCAAATCGACATCAGTAACCATAGCAAAAATTACAAAACAAAATAATGATTCGTTCTTGCCGTCATAGAAAGAAAGAAAACTATAGTTGTATCGTCTGTCAATAAAAATGCATCGAGATGAAAGAAATCAACTGTATTTAAATGCGAGCCGAACCAAATCATGTCTAACAAACAGAACGCAAAAGACATGAAAACGTCGTGTTGTAATGGTGAGAGAACTACAGTAAAATATCTACTTCAAAATACATTATTCCAAACAGTCAATCGTTCAGAGTCAGATGAAAATATTCATCTTCATGATGACACTGTTCATCTCCTTCCTGCACAAGGAACTTGTCGTCAGATATTAGATCGATGTGATCGTACCCCTACGGATACAACAAAAACAGAAGTAGAAAGACCTCTTCATCGTTCAATAGAAGCATTAAAACAACGTTTTAGTAATGGTGTGGCTGAACAATGCGAATGGCCATTGAAAAATGATCTTGCTGAATCATATTCTCGTGCTATTTACTGGGGATGTGTTAAAGATCGTGGTATAGAAAAAACTATTAAAAAAATTCTAGAAGCCAATGTTTTAGAAGATGACGGAGAAGTTTCAACTGAAGTCGTAAAAACTTATTTCAAAAATGCATTAGAATACAATGATCCAACTTTTTTACTTACAGCTTATACTGTTGAAAATCAATTTTATAGAAAACTTAATAGTGAAATGACTAATGGCAATCATCGACAAGTATTTAAAAACCTATGTGGAAACTGGACTGGTTATTATACTGGTATTATTATGAAAAATCCTGTATTTGATCGTTTTCATTTTTCGGGACGACTATATCGAGGAATACAAATAAGTTCATCTGATTATGCAAAATATAAAATTGGTACTGCATTTACAAAAACTTCATTTCAATCAACAACAAAATCATGGGAACTTGCGAAAAAAATTGCCGGTTTATCAGAAACAATATCTGAAAAACTACCTGTTATGCTTATATTTACTATAATTGATCGAAGATCTGCATTAAGTATCGAAGAAATATCCGAGTTTCCCCATGAAGAGGAAGTTTTAATTGTACCCGGTACCCTATTTATGGTATATAGCATTAATGAAAATAAAACACCTTATGAGATAGAACTACGACAACTTGAATGGAAGAATGAGTTTTGATCTTTTGTAAAAAGAATATGTTTCTATTAAATATTATTTATTAATAAATTGCTTTGCAATATATTTTTCATCATATCAAAATAATTTATTATCAGTAATAGTTTACAAAATTCTAATAATTAGTATTTCACTTGAAATATTATTTGTTACCTATAAATGAGAAAACAATCAGTAGAGAAAAAATACATATCGTAAATAAAAGAAAGTATCAATGACATGCCTCAACGTAATAAGAATTTTTAGATAAATATGTTTTCAATGTTAATTTATAAAAAGTTAGTTTGTAATGATTCAATTCAAAGCAATTCATACTTACAGAGTTTTGTTATCTATCTTTTGTCTGAATAATTACTCAGAGTTTATTGTAGTAGACATACACTAAATAGAAAGCTTCAAAAATATTTTTCCAAATTTTTTAAGAAAAAACTAAATGCAATGAATCATCGGCGTAGCCAGGAATTTTTTAGCTATGGGACGTTTCCCAGTTAAACCATTCTGAGGACTGGGCAACAATGAGCAATTAAAACTTGATTGGAGCACATTTTTTTAAAAACTTATTGTCATCATAAAAACAGATATTTATTGAAGAGAGAGACTCATGACTCTCAATGTAGGAGCG